TAGATGGCATTGGGAGAGCTCGCATTACTGCCATATTACTCCAACGAGATGTCGAAAAAGAACTCGCAGTTTGAAAAGTGCGAATAAAGGCCATGCAAACGAACGGAAAACAGGTATCCCATGGTGATTGGGAGGATAAGGTAGGACAATACGTGGCATCCAAACTTAACTTCCCTAATCTCAATCGCACGTTAAAAGAACGAATAGCATCCTTGGATATTCCTTTTCATTGAAAAAACTACGCGAGTAGGTTTGCGGGTGCTGGATGGAAAACCGGATGTTCCCTACTTGAAAGTTCCACTTTGAAGAAAAAGCAGCTTCTGATGTTAGAGACCTAGTTTCATTGTGCTCAAGTTTTTTATACTATATAAAAACATGTAATACTGAAAATGTTGGAATTTTTGAGATGCTTTATTGGCTACATGTTCACTCATAGGAGCGAGGATTGAATACATAAGCACAGTAAGCAAACGGGGCGCAGCGACTTCTTTATTGAGCGAAAGATGCTAATATTAGTTACATCAGTAGAGCAGATGGCTGCGGTAATTAACGAAATCTGAGGAGGGCACGTGAGTGATTCACGCTTCTGCCATATGCTTTTTTATTACTTCAGCGAGGCATCGAAACGCAGCGCAATTTGATAGATGTAAATTAAAGGTGTTTAAATCGGCGAGAAAATATAACGCAAGGTAATCAGTATCAGTATCAGTTTATTAAGGGAAATATAGGCAAGCGCCTTTGAACTCCCTATTGGTTACAAGTCGTCGGAGAAAAACATGGATACATGGGAAGGTGAAAAAGGGATTTTGTACATACTCGCGGACAGCTGACCGCTACTCGAAAAAGAGTAATCATTAACGGTTACTTACTAATTACAAGTAGTATAAACACGTGTAATATGGTGCCGGGTTATGTAAATGGATGTCAGGGTGGTAATGAAACTAGAGAAGGCTGGGTCGAGTAAGACGGTATGCGGTAGGCAAACTTAACTCTAACTCCAACCCTAAACCAAGGGTTAACCCGACATTTTTATCAATTATTCAAGTTCAACAAGAAACGTAACCCTTACACAAGTTTATCTAAATAACAAGTAGGTAGGTTTAATGACAGACTGGTAGGTACGTCACAATCTGAATGTCCTTGAATGTCACTAACACATTTTAGAATGCCAGTCGTAATTCTTGCAATATTTCATGTGTCAAAAGACACTAGCAAAGGCGAATTAATATACGCATGAAATGTTTTCTATTGAGCGCAGTAAACAGGATGCGAGTTAAGACCGTGTAAATGGGCGGAAAAGAGATAGTCGAAGGTTATTAGTCGGTTTGAGTTAAACGGTATGCGGCAGCCAAACTTAATCCTAATGCCAACTAAAACCTAAACCCAAATCTTTAACCGAACTTTAAACCCAAGCCTGACCCTTAACCTCATCCTAACTCTAGCCCCAGTCCTAAATGTAACACTTGCCTAACTCTAAGCCCAAATGCTAACTGCGACTGCTAGCCCTAATCGCAAAATTCCAATGTCAACCCTTAAACCTTATCCTAATCCCAAACGCCACGCCACGGATACGTCCTAGCCCAATATGCCTACAAAATCAAGTAAGTAGGCATGTTGCAGTAATAGAAACTCAGGCTTACATATTCGACCATTACCCATTCCCTGAAAACCTTTGCCCCTGTAGTGAGTACTGGGACATTATTTATCTTGGAGATAGCCGTTTGTGCCATAAGTGTACATTCAGTCAGGCATGAAACATGATCGCTGACGAAAGCGGACAGTCACAACGCCGGCCTGCGTACATCTCACTGAGACTGCAATTCTCGCCGTATCACCAACTGTACGTTTGGAGTTTTTCTGAATGTATTAATGGATGTAACCAAATTCGCTGCTGGATAATGCAACCTAAAATGTCCCAAGATACATCTTAAATTAACCTGCGTCATGATGAGTATGAACGCCTCCAAACAATATCTCATTAAATTATATTCTTACCTAAAACCTCCTGATTCATTCCGTCTTGAGATTCAGAAGAGAATGAAAACAGAGATCCCGAATGGAGATGCTGTTTACCACTTGATCTCTGAAGCCTTTGTTTAAAGATTATATTAGTAAAGGGAGAGAAGCAATTCTTGGAGTAGAGTGTTTGGAAAAAACGTGTGTTATTGTTTACCTAGGGGATAGTAAATTGCATTTTCTGTCGATCGTGTCCTGGAAGACTTCGAGATAATTGCTTCAAGTAAAAACCACAGATTAGATTATCTCAGTAATTTGAGTGTGCTGCTTCTAGACAACAAATTTGGATTCTCTGGTCAGATAAAAGTGATTGATCGGCCTATACCCTGGAATAGCCTAAGGGTATCCACAGAACTCCCAGAGAATTAGTGACCACTTGTCGTCCAGGTGTCTGTAGGCTAACGTCTCAGTTATATGCTAGACAGGAGAAGTTGCCTCAAAGGCAGGTAAACCAATGAAAGAAGATGGCAACCCCGGATAGGCCATTTCTGGTTATAACCAAACTAAGACGATCATAGGTTCAAAAGGCAAGTTGGCGAGCATACGTAAGCTTTCGATGAATTCTCATCAGGCCTATATATTTATATTGTTATCGAAGTGATTATAAAGAAAATGCGGGCAGGAAAAAGTTTTTCTGTAGCTGGGGTTTGGGAATAGGGTTTGGGTGAGTGAGGTGAAAAACAAATTTACCGTCAGTGTCAGGGCGGAGAAGGGGATGGCGGGCCCTGGGACGGGTAATTATACGCAGGAGGCTGGCATGGTGGCTTCGGCCCATGGTAACTGTGGAGCCTGTGCGAAGTTCTTTTGTGCGCGTAGAACTGGTTTGTATAGCCTGATTGCAGCCGCCTCTGCTGTTGCCAACAGACGCTGTCCAAGTGATTTTGGATAGCTTGACGGGACCTTATAAATCACTCGGAATGCCTGGCCGACATCTACACAGTGATCTGTGTCTACTATGTGAGCGAGGACAGAGCTGTTGACGTCCTTTATTTGGCCTTTTCCTAACCATGCTGGAAGGTGTTCCCTTATGTTTTTGGACAAACGCCGGCTCGTGCGACCAATATATTCTGCCCCACAGGAGCAGGTGAAGGAGTTAATACACAGAGAAGTGGTCTGGGCTGGCAGTTTGTCCTTGTCCTCTCCGCGTAGGATGGAACTAATGAAGAAGAGTACCCGGGCGTCGGCTGCTGGAAAGGTACGTAATACAGCTTGAGTTAGGCGCCTTCTTAGAAGTTTGCTCGGCGCGTCCCCTTAAAATGCGACCCTGATGAAAAGCTTCTTATTTTCTGCTGTCAGCATCGGGAGTTTGGTCGTCCTTCGGTCATGTATTTGGCAATGAATCGATCGTGGTACCCGCTCTGACAAAAGAGATTTTCGACAATCTTAAGTTCTTCCTCAATGCTATCAGCCGAGCAGATCCTGCTTACTCTTTGTGTTAGACAACGGACTAAATTGTGCTTCGTGTTTAGCGGTACGAAACTCCCAAAATTTGTGTATTGCCTGGACCACGTCTTCTTATGATAAACGCTACGTCGAATACGTCGAATAATATCCTAGTTATAACCAAACTAAGACAAGCATAGGTCTTAACGGAATGCCCCCAGAGTAATGAAGGACGGCCGGTGGCCTCATGTTCTTGTTTTACCGCGGAAACTATTGATCATCAACCTCTTTTCACAAATGTGACTATGTACAGCCGAGGTCCCAAAGATTGTGCTTTTTAGATCCAACCGTCTGTCAAGTTTGCGAGCACCGAAGCATTTAGTTTATAATTGGAGGATTTTGTACTTGGTTTTGGGACAGTACAACCAAGTTTGACCCTGCATATGAATAACCGAAAAAAGATCACCCAGACACATGCAGAATAGGTGTTTCAGTCGGAAAAATTTCCCGATTTACTAACCCCTGAGAGTGTAGAGTGGAACGCCAAGGTGCGGGCTCGACCACGTAATCCATCTGCACGTTCCCACTTTTTCCGGTCATCTTGACTCTGTCTTGACACCGGGCCCAGGTGGAGGAAGAGGAGAGAGTGTGGTAGATGCTGCACAAGTTTACTATCAGCATAAACTTAACTTTTGCACAAGTCACCTTCGCAGCTCCCACTTTACTGTGGGACATACGGTAGACATCGTCGGTCCGAGGGTCGATCTGTCGTGTGTGTGTGTCCTCTAAACGGTCCACGTGTTAGATGCGCTGGACCAACACGGGGGCCACATCGTACTCTGGCGGGCGTTATCTATGCGCAATAACAAATGCCAACATTTGCGGGGTGCGCTGGCAGACCCTGTTGTCGGCAATCATCGCACAACTGGACCACTGCCTTCACCCCCTTGTTTTGTGGTCAAAATCCTGGTCATTTGTGTGTGGACCAGGGGGTACGGAGTGGAGCGCCAAGGCGAGGATCCGTCCGAGCCATCCACCTGCGGCCTCCCCCGTCTCCGGTCTTCTTGACTCTGTCTTGATACCGGGCTCAGGCGGGGGAGGAGGAGAGAGTGTAGGTAGATGCAGCGCAAGTCTACTGGCACTATAAACCCCTGCGTAAGTCACCGTCCCTGCTCCCACTGCTGCTGCAGCTGTGGGGCACACGGTGGACATCGTCGAAATCGACGGTCGAACTGTCATGTGACATACGTGAATGGTCTGCTCCGATTTGTCAGCCCCTAAGCCCGGACCCACCCGTGGTCCTCTGGCACCACCTCATCATCGAACTGTCGTGTGTGTGTGTGTGTGTGTGTGTGTGTGTGTGGGGTGTAGGGGTGTCAGCGGTGGGTCCACGTGATGGTCGTAGTGGTCGCTCACTTGCTTGCAGGTGAGACTACGCCTAGCGTCCATTTGCTGGCACCCAACTCTCACCTGTGGCTCCACGTAGCTGGGCTCTGCTCAGCGGCCACACCCCGGGCAACCGTCTCGACCGGCGGGCTAAACCAGGTGAGGGTATCCGTGCGTGCACCTGCACGCGCGGTACTGTGGTCTGCGCTGGCCGGATGGATCTTCGCGTCGACATCGTCGAGACGAGGCTCTGCCTGGACCATCGTAGGCGGCCACCAGGTAAGTTTCCCCTCAGGTAAGTGCGCTTGCTTTGTTTCTTCCTTTGTTTGTTGATGTTCCGCGTCGTACGCTGCGCTTGCTGCCTGCCCTTTATATGCTAGTCTGTCTGTCAATAGCTAAAAGACACCCACGATGCCTGCTGCAATTGCCTGTCCGTCAGTCTATGCCACTCTCTACTAATAGCTAGGTGTTACGGTGCTTGAGTTTGTGTGGTGCCCTCACTTTGTCTCTGACTGATGACTGTGTCCGCTTGTCCACTCTAGTTCTAAGTCCCATAGCGTTAGTTAGTGTGTATGCTCTCTCCTACTTCACTCCATCACATCATCACCTCACCACCAAGGTCCCAGGCTAATTCGGGTCGTTCTCTCACTAACAAAAAGTCGTGGCCCATAGTGGAGTCCGGCAGCCGTCTGGGATAACCGGGCAGCCCTGTTCAGGGATGCGTTGCCTGCCCCCGCGAGGGGGAGGGGGCTAGAAAAGGTGCCCTAAAGATCGCTGGGAACCACGCTGTCTGTAGGCTGGCCGTGGCCGCAGACAAAAAACACACGGTCGAAACAGCCAAAACCGATACAACAACAACAACCGCTCTCTTCCTCTTCCAGCCTATTCTTCTTCTTCTCCTACTCCTACTTTTCGCCGCCGCAGTCGCCAGACTGGCAGGGTGAGCCCGCTCACTCTGGCAGCCTGGAATGTTCGTTCCCTTTTAGACAATCCGAGGAGCAACCGACCGGAACGGAGGACGGCGCTAGTGGCACGAGAACTGGCGCGCTACAAGGTGGACATCGCCGCACTCAGCGAGACCCGATTCTCCGAACAAGGCCAACTGGAGGAGGTGGGTGCCGGCTATACCTTCTTCTGGAGTGGTTGACCCAGGGCTGAGCGACGAGACGCGGGCGTCGCCTTCGCCATCCGGACCGACATCGTGGGACGACTGCCCTGTCTGCCGCAGGGAATCAACGATCGCCTGATGAGCCTCCGCCTGCCCCTCCGGCGAGGAGGCAAGTTCGCCACCATCATCAGCGCCTACGCTCCGCCGATGACCAGTTCCGACGCCGTCAGAGACAAATTCTACGAGGACCTGCACGCCCTCTTGGCGACTGTGTCGAAGGCGGACAAGTTGATTGTCCTTGGTGACTTCAACGCCCGCGTCGGCACAGACCATACTGCCTGGAGGGGAGTGCTGGGTCCTCACGGTCTCCGCGGCTCCAACGACAACGGCTTGCTTCTCCTCCGCACCTGCGCAGAACACCGCCTCATCCTGACGAACACGTTCTTCTGTCTGCCGGAGCGAGAAAAGGCCACCTGGAGGCATCCTCGGTCGCGTCAGTGGCACCTGCTGGACTATGTCCTCGTCCGGAGGCGAGATCAGCGGGACGTGCTGGTGACGAAGGCGATCGCGGGTGCTGATTGGTGGACCGACCATCGCCTCGTCATCTCGAAGATGCGTATTCGCCTACAGCCTCGCAGGAGACCCCAAGGTAAGCCACCCCCAGGTAAGCTGAATGTTGCTTTATTGTCTTTGCCTGCTCACCATCTCCATTTCAGCAATGAGCTAGCTCAACGGCTAGACAACCTTCCTATTGCTGCCGCCGCCGACGATGCCGCCGCCGCCGCCGCTGCCGAGAACGCCTCCGTGGAGAACCGCTGGTGTCTGCTGCGAGACACGGTCCAGTCGACGGCTCTCGCCGTCCTCGGTCGCGCTCCCCGCCAACACCAGGACTGGTTCGACGACAACGACGCTGCCATCAGCAATCTGCTTGCCGAGAAGAACCGCCTACACAAAGCCTACGTAGATCACCCCACTGAGGACAACAAAGCTGCCTTCTACCGCAGTCGCCGACAGCTTCAGCAACGACTGCGCGAGATGCAGGACGCCTGGACTGCTCGCAAAGCTGAGGAGATCCAAGGCTATGCGGACCGCAACGAATGGAAGAACTTCTTCTCCGCGATCAAAGCTGTCTACGGTCCGCCGACGAAGGGCACTGCTCCTCTCCTCAGCGCCGACGGCAGCACTCTCCTGACTGAGAAGACGCAAATTCTACAGCGATGGGCCGAGCACTTCCGAGGCGTCCTCAACCGCCCTTCCGTCATCTCCGACGCAGCCATCGCCCGCTTGCCGCAAGTGGCGACCAACGTGGAACTCGACCTCCCACCATCTCTCCAGGAAACGATCAGGGCCGTGCAGCAGCTCTCCAGCGGGAAAGCACCCGGATCGGACGCCATCCCTGCTGAGGTCTACAAGCACGGAGGTCCCCTACTGATGGATCACCTGACTGCGCTCTTCCAGGAGATGTGGCGTCAAGGTGAAGTCCCGCAAGATTTCAAGGACGCAAATATCGTGCACCTTTACAAGCGAAAAGGGAATCGCCAAGTCTGCGACAATCACCGCGGCATCTCCCTACTGAACATCGCCGGGAAGATCTTCGCTCGCATCCTGCTCAACCGCCTCAATAACCATCTGGAACAGGGCCTTCTGCCGGAAAGCCAATGCGGCTTCCGTCGTCATCGTGGGACCACGGATATGATCTTCGCCGCCCGCCAACTTCAGGAGAAGTGCCAGGAGATGCGGACCCACCTGTACTCTACCTTCGTGGACCTGACGAAAGCCTTCGACACGGTGAATCGTGAAGGACTGTGGAAGATCATGCAGAAATTCGGCTGTCCGGAGCGATTCACTCAGATGGTGCGTCAGCTGCACGACGGTATGATGGCGCGAGTCACGGACAACGGCGCTGTCTCAGAGGCATTCGCAGTGACCAACGGAGTGAAGCAGGGATGCGTGCTGGCACCAAACCTCTTCAGTCTTATGTTCTCTGCCATGCTGATGGACGCCTACCGCGACGAACGCCCTGGAATCCGCATCGCCTACAGAACGGACGGTCATCTTCTGAATCAACGGCGCATGAACTTCCAATCGCGCGTATCCACAACTACCGTGCACGAACTCCTCTTCGCCGACGACTGCGCCCTGAACACCACCTCGGAAGCGGAGATGCAACGGAGCATGGACCTATTCTCCGCCGCCTGCGAGAACTTTGGGCTGGTCATTAACACGCAGAAGACGGTGGTGATGCACCAACCGCCGCCCAACTCAGCCACAGCCCCCAACGCGCCGCCGCAAATCAGCGTGAACGGAAATCAACTGCAAGTGGTAGAGAACTTCCCGTATCTGGGCAGTACCCTCTCCCACAACACCAAGATTGATGACGAAGTCGCCAGCAGGATCTCGAAAGCCAGTCAAGCTTTCGGTCGTCTCCGAAACACAGTCTGGAACCGCCACGGTCTTCAACTGAGCACGATGCTGAAGATGTACAAGGCCGTCATCCTGCCGACGTTACTATACGGAGCAGAGACATGGACGGTGTACACGAGACAGGCACGCCGACTGAACCACTTCCACCTCAGTTGTCTCCGTCGCATCCTGAGGCTGAACTGGCAGGATCGAATCCCCGACACGGAAGTACTGGAACGAACGGGAATCCTCAGCATCTACGCCATACTGAAACAAATGCAGCTGCGCTGGAGCGGCCACCTGGTGCGCATGGACGACGAGCGACTACCCAAACGACTCTTCTACGGAGACGTCGCGACGGGTTCTCGTCGTCAAGGAGGCCAAATTCGCCGTTACAAGGATACCCTGAAGTCCTCCCTGAAGCGCCTGCAAATCAACCCGACCAACTGGGAAGAGCTCGCTCGCGATCGTCCGACATGGAGGAGAACAGTGAAGACGGGCGCTGCTATCTATGAAGCCAACCGAATCGCCGCCGCCAAAGCGAAACGCGAAGCCCGTAAATCACAACTTCGCCCAGTCCGCAACGCCGCCGCACAACCGCTCCCAACGCGTCCTCGATGTCAACGGACATTCCGGGCACGAATCGGACTTGTCGGACATCTCCGAACCAACTGCACCTCTCGAACTGCTCCAGCCATCGTCCCCCCGCCCGCCTCTTCCTCCTCTCTTTCGCCAACTAACTCTGACACTCCTTCTGCACCACCAATTCCATCCTCCTCGTCCTCCTCCCTCTCCACTGCCCCAACGGCAGCCGTTCAGACTGCTGTCTCACACATCACCAACACCAACACACCAACCAACATCACCTCTCCCACCTCTCCCGATTCCAGTGATGAGGATCAGGACTACAACTGCCCTCACTGTGACCGCACCTTCACCTCTCGCATCGGCCTGGTCGGTCACTTGCGAATCCATCGCACAGAGACTGGCGAACCAGTGCCTGGAGCACCAACCTACACCCGCCGCACTCGCCTGCCCTGCCCACACTGCCCTAGCACCTTCACGCATCGCATGGGTCTATTCGGCCACATGCGCATCCACGAGA